GAGCGGGGGGTGCGCGGGGACAAAGCCTGGGGCTGGCGGGTGCTCAGCTCCTGGGGGACACCCGGCACTGACCTGGGGGACCCCCCCAACCCCCGTCCTGGGATAAGTTTGGGGCCCCCCCGTGATCCTGGGGAAGTCCTGTCAGCACCCCAAGACCCCAGGGAGCCCTGTGACCCAGAGAGCTGAGACAGTCCTGGGGTTCCCCGGCACCCCGATAGTCCAGGAGGTCCCTGAGAGCCCCGGGACAGTGACCCTGGGGAGCGGCTCAAAGCCGCGGGGGCACCCCGGTCCCGCGGGGAGTGCCCTGGGGAAACGGGGGGTGCTGGCACCGGGCCGCTGCCACGGCGGGCAGGAGCCTCCTCGGATTGCTTCTCAGTGCCGCGGAGGCGCGGTAACACGGCAGCCTGAGCTCAGTTTAACCTGAAATCCCGAACATTCATGGGCCTCAGTCAACCGGGCAGCCCACCATACCCCGGCTCAGCGCAGAAATTCGGGGGGATGCTCAGCCCTTCCACCTGCGCCTGGCTGTACACTCGGTCCCACAAAGTCCAGCTGCCTTCTCAGCCCTCGGCTGTCTGCCCCGCTCAGCGGAGCCACAGGGGATGTGGCTGTCACAGGAACGGGCAACTCGGTCGCTGATTTTGACTTCAAAAGAGCCAAGGATCTTCCCCCGTACACACCTTTTCCTTGGGACGCCCGCCGATGCCTTTGTGTTCTCCACAGCCCGGGCACGGCTTCCGAGTCCTTGCTCAGGCCAAAATCCCAGCGCTCGCTTGCAGGTCGCCCTGACTGAGGACTCCGGACCTACTTCCAGTCAACCCCAAGCTCCCTGAAGATGGACTTTCTACTTCAGAAGCTCAAAATCTTTTCTGCTTCCTCTCACAGACCCGATGACATTTCTAATAAGTTTCTTTGGTGTGGGAAGGAAATCCCCAAGGGAAGAGACGGTCATTTTCTAGGGGCTCTGACATCACCAAAAGCCCCGTCAGATCGATAGCCAGCAATGTCCTCATCTCATTCATGAGAAGACTTCCCTGAAGTCAGCCCGCGAGCTAGAGCACCTAAAGCACGGGATGGGAAGGGACTATTCTAACTCCCAGCTAGATTTGTTCACTGCCTGTTCGTTTCCACGTGCCCCTGTGTAACATGTTCAGAGCTCTCCTTCCGGAACGTGTCCTGCCTAACAACAGCATCAGCTTCCTCACCATCGTTTTGCTGGGCATGAGGGTATCATCCCCTTTCTGCTATGTTGATCCTTGATGCCATGCAAGCATCCTGTAATATCCTGGTCCTCCTCTATTGTGACAGTACCCACATCTTTTTTTTTTTTTTTTTTTTTTTTTTTTTTTTCAAGGCCAGATTCCATCAGTAGTTTCCCTCCAGTCTGATAATTCCCTTTCAACACTCCTGTTATCTTCTCCCTATATTCTTGAGTTCCATCCTACAAATCTTCCACTAATTGATAATTTCTCCAGTTTAAATCACACGGTCCCAGCACCACATGATGCTGCTGTAACACGGCTCATGACTTACGACAAAGCTTATGACTGAGCTTTGAGATCTTGACCCACAACTTGATGGATTTGACTGCCCTCACTTGACTCACGCATATCGCAAACATCAATCAAAGCCTTCTTTAACGGCTAGTCCTCTCCATTTATCGTAATCTGCTTATTCCCAACAGCCTTCTGATATTAGGAAATCACATTCCAGCTAGATATTAAACTCTTTTCCTCTTGTTTTGTTGGTTTTTTTTTCCCGATTCTTTGGGATATAAAGCAATTTTACAATGTTTTCCCCAAGGAATGGCAAGCCTCTTCCGCATGAGCTTTGAGTTCTCCCGGTTCATTGTGCTGTTGCTCAAAAATTTTTCTTCTGAAAGAAGAACAAACAAAGTCTTCTATTCTCATTCTACGTTGATTTAGCCTTCAGCTCCACTTTAAAGGTAGTAGCTTGTCATCAATCAGTCCTTATGAATGACTTCCCTGCAATGTTGTCTCTACTTATTTTCCTCTTAAAGGACAACAAATGTGATTCAAAGTCAAAGATCTGAGAGTTCTGAGCATAAATCAAACTCATCTAACGTAATGCAGAATCAGATCCCCAACACGTTACAATACCTGTTTTCTCACAGCTCGGGCCCCTTGGGCTTGCTCCTGTTCCCCGAGAAAAGCATTCCAGTGTTCACTGGCAGTTTGGGGTGGTGGATGCTGTAGGACATGTCACCTCCAGACTGCCAGCTGCTCCAAGCGCGAGGACACTCAAATGTTGTCGTTGGCTTAGCAGCTTTGTGGGTTGCTCCTTTCCCTTTCGGCTAAGCAGCCTCGCAGTCTGAGAGGAAGGGGTGAGTTTGAATTAGGGAGGATCTCCCTCTGGCTGCAGAGCTGGAGCTGGAGCTGAAGCTCCCTCCTCTTCCACAGGCCGCGCCGCAGGTGGACTGGAGCAGATGACCGTGACCTGCAGCCAGGCAGAAGATCCAGCTGCAGTGGTATCTGCCTCCTCTTGCGGTGGCAACAAAAATTGCAAGGTTTAGAAAAGTGGTGAGCTTCTGTGGATGCTGAAATCTGAGGAAGCGTGGTTATGCTCAGGCCAGGGCTTCTGTCTGGCTTAGTGACACGCCTGGCTCTGAGTAAGGCGCAGGCGCCTGTGTAATGGTTAGGGCTCACCACACCTGCTTCTTGCTCTTTGGCCCATGAGCCCTCAAGCGCAGCCCCTCCCCAGAAAGTCAGACACAGATGGAAGACCCTGGTCCGGAAAGTGGATTTCCTACAGTGTTTTAAACTGGCCCAAGAAGAAGTCTGGACTATGCACTGAAAATATCCCTGTTTGAAGCTACGATCCAGAAAAGTAAATAACGGTGACCTGTCCAAACGGAATCTATGGAGCTTTAACAATGCTGACCCATGAATTTTGATAAATATACTTCTACTATTAATAAAGGCACTCAGCTGCCCAACCATTGCAGGAGGTATCAAACCTTTCTGGTTGAGCAGCTGCAATGCACATTTTGCTGTATTGCTTTCCATAAATCCCTAGCTGGGACCTTCTTGGCCATGTGCAAATGTCTCTGGAGAACACAGAGCTGGCACAGTCTGCTCCCGTATCTCTGTCTGGGCCTGGTACAAGGAGTAAAAAAGCAGTGCTGGCTGGAAATCCCTATGTTTTTAACCAGAGGATTCTGTTGTGAGCATCTGCAAGGATGGGGGATTTGCGCTGCTTCGTGCCTTTTCAGTCACGAGGGCTCACAGAGCAAGACCTGAGTTTTTCACAGGTCAGCTTTGAGGTGGATCAGCAAAAAAGGTTTTCTAAGATGTTGCTTGCAATGTTGAACTTCTCGTGATGGCAAAGGGGAGCTGACAGGGGGTTAAGTTTTGTGAATACTTGTTTTTATCAGCCCTGTCCTGTCTGGAGGGGTTTGTGCAGCTGTGCTTGATGTGGCTGCTCCGCTGGGAACAGTTTCTGCTTTTAGGAAAAGAAGGAGAAAATGTATTTGAAGTCCTTCATCAAAATGGGCATTTTAGTGAAGGCAGAGTCTGTTTTCTGTCTTCTATGACTGCTCTTCATTTTTCCACTGGCAAAACAACCAGTGGAGAAGGTGGAAGGATCCTAAAAACTGTGGATTAAAATGTATTTCAATATCCCTGTATTTTCAGGCTGCTTGACTGGAAAAAATCCCCTTTAGCTCAGTGACTGATTGGAGCCGTCTCCAAACAGACAGTATCTTTGGAAAGTGATGGAGGGTGATGGGGTCACAGAAACGAGGCAATAGGGTCTCTTACGGTTAGCAGGGTAAAAGGAGGAAACTAAAGAACTTGAAATCAGTTAACTTCAAAGCACAAAAAAAGAGTGGGACTTTTAATTGAAGAGAGAGGTGCAAATAACCATGGCCATTGCCAAGAATGAATAATTTCAGATGAGTCTGTTTTCCTTCTGTGACAGATTCCAGTCCTTGGTTCAACATTATTATTCACTGTCCTTTCGTCAATAACTTATGAGCTGTAATGGAGAAGGTGCTTATTAAATTCTCAGATGTTTCTGGGCTACAGAGGCTGTGAGCACCCGGGGTTAAAATTCAAACATCTAGACAAATCAGAGATCAGTTCAGTACGGAAAACAGGGATTTAGGAAAGAGTAACTGTCCGAATACATGGCAAACAAACTGCTTACGCAGCGGCTTTTCAACATAAGAACTATAGGTTGCACCAATCATGAGTTACTCTATTGGCATATTGAGTGCCAGTATGGGATGTATAAACAGAAGAACAGTTTGTAAAATGTGTGACATTCCCCTTCCTCTTTCCAGCAAGAGCATCTCTCAGCCGGGGTCCCAAGATCAGCTTCCAGTAAGAAATGAATTCTGTATCTTCCCACTGCTTCTCTGCAATGGGAGATTGCTGGTAAACTCCCCTAGGATGCTTGGCGTACCCCAGAAGTATGTACTTCTGTCTCCATGTCCAGGACACTCCCTCTAGGGCCATCACTATTTATTATGCTAGCCAAGCTACGCGGACAACGCTGTTTGCAACCCCTCAAGAGACCGGTAAAAGTGTTGTGATCAGGTAAGTCATAACTCTCAAGCTTGTTTCCTAATGTCACTTCAGCTCCTCTTCCAATAAAAACAAGTTTGGAGATGCCGTTTGCCTTGGTGACTATCAGAGAACACAACACTGTGTTGTTCTGTGAGTATCTTTGAACCACAGATGCTTTGTCCATCAAGGATAAATGTTGACAAGAGGCGAGAAAGGCCTCCAGGTAGTGAAGACATCAGAACAGGCTTTTGTCTCACCTGAAGATGTTCATCTTCCTTCTTCCACTGAAACTGCCGACTGGGACTCTGCCCCCTGAGCACCGCCATGGCCTGCACCAGAGGGCTTTGTCCCCAAAGTCCACCTCCCTCATGTCACCTTGTGCTTTGGGCTGCCGCTGCCCTGGCAGTGCAGAGATTGCTGCCGCCTCTCTCCTCAGCACCGGAGCTGCAACAATCCGAGCTGCAAACCAACGCAGGGCAGCAGTGGGGGGGGTGTTCGACCTGCTCCACTCCAACCACCCTGCCCGGCGGCCGGTGCAGCTGGGCAGGAACACTGCCTCCGGCTGTGGGAAGCTGCTGCCAGCGTGTCTGGCCCATGGGGCAGGCTGTGCCCTGGGGCACACGAAGCCACGGCCACCAAGGGATGCCCAGTGGAATGAGCCTGGGGCTCACATGCTGTGAGCCAGGAGCCACGGGGTGCCTGACTGACTGCTGGGGCACCCAGCACTGGAAATGGGCTGCTGGGGAGGGTTCCTGCACCTCTCCGAGCTGGCCCCCGTGTCCCCGCTGTGCTCAGGACCTGGGGCTGGCTGGCAGCCCATCCCTGCTCCTCCAGCTCAGCCCTGCAGGCAGGCCCAAGGCTTGGCCCTCTGCACCCTCTGCCTGGCCCCGATAAAGCACCGCGGCTGGAGGTCCCCATCTGGTGGCAGCGGGGACATATGACTGGGACAAAACTCATCCCGGCTCTTTGGAGCTCAGCAGTTCTTTGGCCAGACAGAGCCCTGGGAAAGCGCTGCGGAGCCAGGACACTGCCCAGGGCCACACGCAGGGTCCTGCCTGAGGACACCGCGCGGCATGGGAGCAGCTGGAAGAGAAAGCCTGGCAGAGGCGGTGGGGACAACTGCCAACCCCGTCCCCTCCACGCACACACGTACCGTCCCCTGCGTTGCTGTCACACCTTGTCTCATGTGCACACCGCGCTCAGGACCACAAGGGTCCTTCGGGCTGGGTTTGGAGGAACCCAAGTCTGTGCAGAATTTGAGGCTGGCTCTTCCCAGGGCTTTACACACTAGCCCACACTGCCTCGCACGCCTGTGTGCCATGACCCCCCCTTACATCCCTGCTCTCCCTGAGCTCCGCGGGGAGCAGAGGCTCTCGGCAGAGCAGACTGTGCCCTCTGGGTGATGTCAGCTGGAAGGGTGCACCCTGCCCCAACACCCTGCTCCATGCAAAGGTAGATCAGGACGGCCAGTGATGCCCTGACCAGCTTTCTCTTCCTCTCCTCACCGTGCCCAGGTGTGGTGGGCATGTGGGGTCGTGATGCCTGTGGTGCTCTGCAGGAGAAACCCCGGGGGCTAGAGAGCCTCCCTCTTTCTCTCTCTCTTCCGAGTCATTTGGGGTCTCTCCTGCCTCTGGTGCATTCACCGATGATGACTGGAGGCCATGGGGCTAGGGCAAACGTCCACCCTCGCAAGCGTCAGGGAGCAAAGGGGCCCATGGCAAGCTTGGCTTAGCTCCATGCTGTGGCTGCGCCACCCCTCAGGGCTTTTCTCGAATCTTCACCCCGAGCAGCTCCCAGCCCTGGCAGGGACCAGGAAGCCTTACTCAGCACCTGGCAGGTTGTAGCCCCTTGGGACTATCTGTTGCCCCATCTCCCACCACACCCACAGCTGGAGGAGAGCCCACACTCTCCTTTATCAGCCACCTGCCCTGTCGTGTGTGTGTGTGTGTCCCTGTCCCCCCCCGCTGGCTGCCCAGCTGTGGGCCGCGATAAGGGCCAGGGCTGTGCAGACACCAGCACTGCAGCACCCAGCACCACTTTCCTGCCTCTGCTCATGTTCCTGCCCTGACACCCCCTACCCCGCTGCGGTGCAGGGCCCGAAGAGCAGGATCTGGGGCTGAGCTCTGTCTGCTGCCCTTGCAGTCCCTCATGCTTGCTGTCTCCCCGAGCCTGCCAGCCCCCCAGGACCCCTCCAAAGTGACTCCCCAGCAATGCAGCGTTAGGTGGAAACAGAAGCCCTACAATGCCACACAGCCCTGCGTGCTGGGGATGCACCGAAAGATGCCCATGCACTTGGGAGTCCTCAGGGTGCCCTCACTGTGCCACCACGCAGGGTCTCACAGGCACCAGGAGCCCCTGTACCCCACTGCCTCCCACAAGAAATACCAGAAGCAGATGATCTCCAACAATTTGGCCTGAACAGGGGCAGGGAGTGCACAGGGCTAGTGGGGCAGGAGGGGATCCCGGCACAGGCTGGGGCTGCAGGGAGCCCCAAGGGCCAGACTCTGGCCACTCTCTGTGATTCTTCCCCCTCCACTGGTGCCTGGAAACACTCTGCTCACCCCCAGAGCCCCACGGCTGGTGGAGCAGCATCTGCCTGCCAGGCACTGCCGCCCAGATGCTGCTTCCTCTCAGAGACAGCAAAACCAGAGCCCCTCTCCTCCACCTGCCCACCTGGCACCGGGAGTCCCCCGAGCACATCCCTCCCACTCCCTCCCCGCAGACAGCAGTCAGAGCAGGACACCAGGGCTGGAGCACAAATGTCAAAGATTTTATTTCAGATCATTTGTCTGCTTGCTGTCGGAAGGCTGGCAGTGTGTTGGGTCCAGCTCTAGCCACGGTCCCGTCTTAACGGTACTTGGCAGTCAGCACATTGCCCACGGCACACAGGAACTTGTCCAGGGAAGCGTGGACCTCCGGGGTCAGGGCAGCGGGGTGGTGGATGGCCATCACCACCAGGAAGCAATGGCCCAGCAGCTGAAAGGCAAAAGGAGATGGTGAGCAAGGGGGTGAGCTGAGGGGGTGGCCGGGGGGGTGCAGGAGGGCAGCGGGGCTGGTCACCGCTTCCCAGACGCTCACTTTGAAGTTGACGGGATCCACGCGGAGCTTTTGGGCGTGGAGGTCACTGAGCTTGGAGAGGGCGCCCGCGATGTCATCGATGTGGTTGACAGCCTCAACCAGTGCAGCCGCCACCTTCTTGCCGTGCGCCTTGATCTGAGCGGAGCCGTGGCTCAGGTCGAAGTGGGGGAAGTAGGTCTTGGTCTGGGGGTAGGTGGCAAACATCCTGGGGGACAGAGGGGGCCAGGGCCAGGTGAGCCAGGGACACGGAGGACAGGGAGAGGATGGGGGCAGATGGAGGGAAGCGGGGACAGACAGACAGACAGACAGGAGAGGGGATGACGGCAGGGAGGCACACATACCTCTCCAGGGTCTCAGCGCCATACTCTTCGGCATGGCCGCCGATCTTGGCGAAGACGCCCTTGACGTTGGTCTTGTCGTTGGCAGACAGCACCATGGTGTCACCTCCGCGTT